TTGGGGGGTTAGGGTTTAGGGGGTTAGAGTTCAGGGTTCAGGGTTTAGGGTTTATTTGTTGAAAAGTAGTGGCCCTTGAGGGAGCCTAAGGATATCACCGCCAATGCCCCCCTCTCCCCAAGCCCGCAGCGTTCTTATTCTTGCCCGGGATCCGGGAATCCTCCTTCGGATGCCATGAGGTCTTCATAAGAGTCGTCCCACCTCCCTCCTGTGGGCGTGGTTCTGGGCTTTAGGGTTTAGGGTTGGGTAGGAGGTTGTTAGGAACTCAGGAAAACATGTACGACATTGTGGATTTGCATGGTATGGGGATGACAAGGGCAGTTACAGGGACGCACAAGGATAATTTGTTGATGTGTATGCGGCTAAACGAGTTATCATTCCTAAGGAGTGGAGAAATTGAAGACGTAAGATTGATGAACATAAAACTGATAAGTGTCAAGAGGGTTGGGCCCTAAAGTGCCCCAATTCCTGTGACCTGTCTCGGTTGGCTATTTCGAGTTCTGCGACATCAAAAGCGGTGATTATGACGCGGACACCTACCATTCCGGTGACTGATGGCACTGTTGACATCCGCGACATCAAAAACAAAAGCAGTTATGGCCAGTTATGGCAGGACACTCGCCCAGGTGACTGCTGGCACCTGTGAGATGTGGGACATCCCAAATGAGGAGAGTCATGAACCAGAGTGGCACCTGCGAGGCCTCAAAGACGACAGTCACGAGGACTGCAACCAGGACACCCACCGTCCTCGTGACTGTTGGGACTTTTGGGAGGTTTGGCCTGGAGGTCAAGGGACCGGGCTACTGACACACGGACAGGGACCCGTGAAGGGGATCATGACGACCCTATTGGGGACTGTGTAGGGATGATTTTGAGAGACTCCTGAATGGAGGAACGAGGGGCCCGATCCCGTAGTATTCTCTAGAGATGATCCTCAGGATTCATGTGCCATTTGCTTGAAAAAACGACGTTTGGGACGTGGAAAAAGTAGACCCAGTACTTTTCAAAATTATAAAGGGGATCTCAAGAACGCCGTTATAATCCCTCTAGGGGCTTCCCGTCCGTCTTGAGAAGCCCGCCTTAACTCCGAAAAGCTCAGGACCTCTGGGTGCTAGGCGCAGCCTTTCTGCAGCGGTTCGTGGTTTGCTTCGACTTTGACCAGGCTCCCTTGGGGGCTTTCTCAAAATGCACTGGACACTTCAGAGTTTAGGAATTAGGGTTTGGGGTTGAGGGGATGAAGCATTGAGAGATGATTGTAGGAGGTTCTCCTTTTAGGAGTGTATATTATTATAATAGGGCGAAGTATCTCAGAATTGCCCACGTGGAGGTTTGCCAAGGGTATGTTGATGCTCCCCTTCTGGGGGATGCAAGAATTTGCCTTCTTGGGCCCAAATTCTAGGGTTTAGGGTTCAGGGTTGAGTTTAGGGCTTAGGGCTTTGGGTTTAGGGTGTAGGGCTTTGGGTTTAGGGTTTAGGGCTTGAGCCGATGAGTTCCAGGATGACGTTATCAGTTCGAAGCCAGTTAGGGCAAGCAAGACCCATTTGAGTAGTGTTTCATTTGGGGTTACTATTGTCCCCAAAATGGAGTAAGATTATATCCTTCTTTTGGGTATAGTATCTTATAAGACCTGATCCTCCTAAACCTTGAAAACGTTGAAAACCAAAAAATCTAAACGCCCTAAAACACTAAAAACTAAACTCCGAAACCCCTAGAGCCCTGAACCCCTAATTCCCTAACCCCCTAAACCCCTAAAGCCCTAAACCCTTAAACCCCTAAACCCCTAAAGCCCTTGGACCCCTAACCCCTTAAACCCCTACACCCCTAAACCCCTTAAACCCCTAAACCCCTAAACCCCTTAACCCTTCAACCCATAAACCCTTCAACCGCTAAACCGCTAAACCCCTAAACCCTTAAACCCCTAAACCCTTAAACCCCTAAACCCTTAAACCCCTAAACCCCTAAAGCCCTTACACCCCTAAACCCCTTAAACCCCTTAAACCCCTAAAGCCCTTAAACCCCTAAACCCCTGAAGCCCCTAAACCCCTAAACCCCTAAACCCTCAAACCCCTAAACCCCTAAACCCCTAAACCCTTCAACTGCTAAACCGCTAAACCCCTAAACCCTTAAACCCCTAAACCCCTAAAGCCCTAAACCGCCTGTTGGCAGGGGAGGATCGGGGTTGCCGAGCCGGCCGGACAGGATCGGGATCTCTGGGACATGAAGGTTTAGGGGGTTTAAGGGTTGAGGGGTTTAAGGGTTTAGGGGATTTAGGGGTTTAAGGGTTAAGGGGTTTGGGGGTTGAGGGGTTTGGGGGTTCAGGGGTTAAGGGGTTTGGGGGTTAAGGGTTGAGGGGTTTAGGAGTTTAGGTAGGCTTTTGGCACAGGCGAGGTGGACAGCCACCTAAAGTGTTAGCCCCTTTCCAGCCATGGCGGAGGCCAGTGCTGGGGCAAAGAGTGAGCCGGAAGCTCCTGCCAAAGAAGAGCAGGACTCACAGGAGACAGAATGGGAACAGTTTCAGAAGTGGAAAAAGGCCCAACAAGAGGCCAAGGAAAAAGAAAAGGAAAAAATCAAGAAGCCCGCCGAAGAAGGCGAAGACCGCAGAAGATGACCCTGAGTTTATTGCTAAACTGCAATCAATGGGAATCCAGATAGATGATCTGGACATGCAGCTGAGACATCAGCTGCGAACTTCGGAGCAAGCTCGAGAAGATTTCCTAGCAGTGCACCAACGCGGCGCCCTCACCACCTACAATCCGGACACCGGAACTTTTCAGGCAGAGCAGCCTACTAGGAAGAGAGACTTTGCCACCTCCTCGGCTGACAACGTTGAGATAGAGCAGTCCCTGGAACCCAGGATCAAGGAGGCCATGCTCAGTTACCACCAGAACTCCGTCCTCCCGAATGTCAACAAGCTGAGACAGCGATGCAGCAGTTCCAGAATGAGAGATTTTCTGCACAGCTCCAGTCCCTGGAGCAAAGCAGGGCCAACAAGACCGTCCTCCTCTATGACCTGCCGCCGTTTACAAACCGTTCTACGCTGGAAGGAAATGTGAAGCACTACCTGCAAGGTGCTGGCCTCGACTATAGTCAGGTCGCTGCAGTTCACAACCACCTCCTGACTTCCGCGTCGGCTGTGGTCCGCGTGGAGTTTCTTACTGAGAACCAGGCGCGAACATTCCACATACATATGCGGGCCTCCAAGCGTTACTGGCGAGTACCAGGTACTCAGGATACGAAGGTGCGATCCGAGCTGGATACCACCACGGAAGACCGCATCGCTATGCAGCCTTTCTATGCTCTCCTCGACATCCTCTCGGAGCTCACGGGATCTCCGGACCTCCAAACCTGGAAGCAGACTTTACAGATCTGGACCGGCAAAGACGTCACGCCGAAGCGCCTTCTTGCCCAGGTGTCCTACGTTTTGGATAGCAGATTTCCACGTCGCTACGCATGTTGCAGAAGTGGCGCGCGGCTTTTTCCGATCGCATGCGCTGCGCGATGCTGCTCGTACAAGCCCTCCGCCGCGCAGTCACGGACAAGACGACAACATCGAGGAGCTCCTATGACAAGTCCTTCGACCTCTCCAACAACCAGGCCAAACTTGCCAACTTCCCCTACCCGGTCCTACCAATGAAGATGAGCGCGCAGTTAGGAACCTTGTTAGAGTCTCACCCCATGTTGCCTTTTCAAGGTGCAGGTGGTCTCCTTTCCCTAACCCTTCAGGCCTTTGAAGATTATGGCATTGCCGCTGAGAATTATGGTAAGGGTGCTCCTTCTAAGTCCCAGACTCTCAAAGGACAAGTTTCCTCCACCAAAGGTAAGGGCAAGGGCAAGCAACAGAATACAAAAGGAAAATCCAAAAAAGGTCCTCCAAAAGATAGAGATCATGACTCCAGAACAG